CATTTTTTCGTTTCCTTCTCAGGTTTTTTTTTTTTTTTTTGCAACTTTTTTCTGTGCTTCTTTTTCATTTTGTGCTCATAGTTTTCTGTCCGCGCCAAAAAGGCAAAAACCGAGCAACAGTAAAACGAAATTTTTTTTAAATGTTTTTTTATACCGTTTTTTCTACTTTTTTGCCTTGACGTTGGGACGTTGGGAAATTGTTGAGGGGGAGGAGGGGCTTGGTTGGAGCATAAGAGGCAAAGGACTAAGAGCTGCAACGCAAACGGTCAGGTCCGTTGTGTTTGTGTGCTTGCAAGGAGGCGTGGCAAGGCACTGAGTAGAGGGGCGCTGAGGATAGGATAGGAGGTAAATAAATTAAATGCTTTTTGCTCAACTTTATTTTCCAAGCGATGTTTGCCTTGTTTTTAATATTTTCTTTGCCAGCTTTATATTAACCATATGTATATACAAAGATATATGTATGTACATATATATGTATGGTATATGTTGGTATATAGTTTTTGTATCCATATACTCTATGCATATGTTTGTGCTCGAGCCACTAGCTATGTATGTATATGTATATAGCAGATAATTAAACCAAGCTTGTTTTATTTTGATTCATTTCTAACGGGACGCGAACTTCAAATATTATTTGAACTAGCAGTGAACTAATGAACCGATTTGGACCATTTAGAAATTTGCCTCTGAGCTAGTTTGGAGCTTGTGTGTGTGTGCTTGTGTGAGCCAGTAGTAGTATCAGGAGCTTTGTGTTACCTGATTCAGAGTCTCAAGAAATTCCCTGAAGAAAAGTTCCTTTGAGCCAATTCTGAACTAATGTGTTTTTTTTTTTTTTTTTTTTTTTTTTTTTTTTTTTTGAGACAATTTAAGTACCTTAACTATACAAGTTTTTCCGATTGATAAAGGTGCTAATATTAACTATATCTACATTTAAGTGCATTTTTATGACCCATTTATCAGATTACAAAAATACAATTTTAATCAATTCAAAAGAAAATTGAATTGCATTACAAAAAGCATAAATTCAATTTATGGATACAAATAAATTTATTGTTTCTCGATATTGAAATTCATAATTAAATACAAAATTAATCAAATGGAACAAAAATAACGCTTCGTATCGGAAATGCATTTATAAAAATATATAAATTTATAAATAAATATAAATTATATAAACAAAAATACCTCCTTCATGAGGTGCCAGAAATAAAAACACGTATAAATTTAAAGAAAAACCATAAAAATAATAAAAATAAAAAAACTGAAAGCAAATATATACATATATATGTATACATGTATAGTTAAATATATATTGAAAAACAATAAAACCAGTACAGTGGCTTTAAAGTGATTGACTGGATAATACCCTATACACAACTTTAGATTCTAAAGATGAAAATAGAAATACAAATAAATAATTAAAAAACAATTAAAAGCTGTCACAAATAATTTATGTAATACTAATATAGTGCAAATGTATTGGTATAATATTTAGACGTTCAGATAAGTAACTTAATATTGCAATTGACAGAATTCGATTTTTAAAATTTCATTGACATTCCTCTAGAGTAGCTCATAATCTTACCACTGCATGTACCCCGACATCTGCTGCTTTTATATGTACAGGGTGTACAAAAACAGTATTCGACCGCAAAACGTTCTCTGATTCATAACTACGAATCACTCTCGTTTATACCTTTATTTTATTTTCTCGCTTTAAGCTTTTGATATATTTTTTATTTCATTTTCACCCAAATTCAACCAAATATAGATATATATAAGAATATGTACACATATGTACTTGTATAAGCAATATATTTAATACACACACATACACACGCACACTTAGGGAGAGAGATATCTGCCTAATTTATATCGTTTTTTTTTTTTTCTTCTTTCTATTCTTTCAGATAGACCATCTTTGAGAGGCGCCCTCTGTCGGCGAATCGCTTTGGCTTGGAGTGAGGGGGCGGTGGAGGTAGAGCAGCTCTGCGAGTGAGTGGGTGGGCGCAGAAGTCGGGCGGTGGGTGTGCGAGCAGAGTTGGCCGTTCGCAGCGTATGGTTTTTGCTGTTGTTGTGCCGCAGTTTCATTTCTTTTGATTTTCTTTATTTCTTTTTGCTTCCATTCGATTTCTATTGTTTGGTTCGCTTCTATTCAACGGATATGCTCGTACATGCTTTTTATCTGTGAAGGCGCAGAGACTTTGATTTTAGCTTTTGCTCCACTACCATTCATTCTTTCGTTTCTTCTACTTCTGTCATTTTTCTCCCTCTCTCTGTCTCTTTCTTTTTTGAGTTGGTTAGTTTTTGGTTTTTTTTTTTACACGCTTAAATACCCTGTTCATGATAATTACAATTGCTTACATACATACATATATGAACTGAAGCAAACCACTTGGCATTTACTTTAAACTAGGAACTAGTTCAATTGTATTAAACCGAATCCTTTAAGCTGAGAACCTAATTTGAGTTGTGAACCATATATAAAACTAATTTTAATAGGTTTTTTTCAAAATGTTAAGAAAACTGCAGCTCAAAATGTATGACGCTAGTAACAAAAAACCTTAAGCTTTTAACTCCAGCAAGCTAGGGAATCTACTAGTCGCTCTTACTTTATTTCCAGCCCATGTTTTTTTTTTTCCTTGAGTTATCAGCAACAAAATTTTGCCTAACATGTTTCTTTTTTTATTATTATTGTTTTCTTTTTACTCGAGTTCACATAAATCGTATATATATAGATATACAAATATATAGATATATACATATATATATTTTTGTAATATATACATTTATTGTTATGTGCGATTCGTTCGCATTTGCTTTGCTGTTGACTATTTTTTCTTTCAGCTTTTTCTTTTTTCCCCACCATTTTGTTGTCCCCACTTACAGCTTTTTTTTTGTTTTTAATTATAAATAAGTGCTGATATCAGCGAAGCGAAGAGAGGGAGACAGAGGGAGTGAGAGAGAGAGCGTCAGAGTTTGAAAAAAAAAATAGGTACAGAAGAAAATAAATAAATATAAAATGCTTATATACAATAAAAAAAAATAATAATAACAAAAAACAAATACGACTCTGATACGCAGCAAAATTATTGCGAAAATCCCAAAAAAAAAAAATTAAAGAAGCAAAAAACCATTCGGGGGAATCTACACTTTTTTTATTTATTTATACATACATAAACATAGATGTATGTATGTATGTATAAACATGTATAGAATTGAATCTTTGGCGATTACGTAGATCATCAATTTGATAACTTAAACAAATGCGACACCCAAGACTCTATGTATGTTTACATATAACTGAGATTGATTGCAAATAAACAGAACTATTCTAAACTGGCATTGCAACAAGAACAAGCAACAACAGCTTTCAATTACCCCGCTATGAAACAATATACATTTTTCATATTTTCATTTCTCAACCGTACCAAAAACCTAAACAAGTTATTTTCCTCTCCTTTTTCTTCACACATACACAGCCGATAGGCTAACGCAAGTGTGTGTGTGTGTTTGTGTTTATCAAAGGTGTATATTGTTGATTGCTTATTTATGAATAATGCGGCTTAGTGTGCGCTTAAACACTTGTTGGTGTCTGCGTTAACAAATGTGTCCAAAGTTTAGCCAAATTTGGCAACAGCACCAACAACAAACACTTGTCCCTGACCATGGACGTTTGTTGGTATTGGGCCTGACCCAACTGTAACTCCGTCTGCCCTCTCTCACGAGCTCGCTCTCTCGCTATCTTTCCCTTTCATACATACATACGTACTTTGCCTAACGGCGTTTTGTTGTTGCCATTTGAGCTTTGGGTGAACTTGAAATTTGGAGAGTCAACAGCATGTAATTGACACACACACACACACGCACACATACGCAACTAAAAACTCTCCCACACACATGCAGAGAGAGCGGCTTGCACTCGAAATTGCGTTCGCGGCGACGTCAATGCGGACACTGGGACGCCGCGCATACGAATGTCGTTATGAAAACAAAAAAAACTAATAAAGCAGCGGACAAAAACAAACAGGCAACTGACAACAGCAGCGGCACTGGCAGAGGTAGCAGCAGCGATTGGTTGTACGCTGGCAGCGCAGCTGCGGCAATTTGCAATTTTAATTTTGCGTGCCGTTTTTTTTTTTTTTTTTTTAATTTATTTTTTTTTGTTTTGTTTTCATCTTTTTTGTTTTGTATAATTAAAGTTAAAGTTGTAACATAAAAACAAGAAACACAAACAGCAATGGCACACAAAAAAAAGTCAATTGCAAATTGCTTGGCTCATTTTGCGGGCATATTTATTATTGTTTTATTATTTTTTGTTTTTAAAATAATTTTTTCTTTCTTTCGTTTGTTTGCGCGCACTGCTAAGGCGGAAATTGCTTTTTGTCTCTTTCGCGCGCGCGGCTTTTTATAATTGACAACAACAAAACACATGGCGCAAAAAAATTAATTACCAACAGTAAAAAACAAAACAAAAAAACAAAAAACGACAGCTACAACAAAAACAAATAATGCAAACACAATTTTTAATCATTTCGTATGAAACTCACTTCAAAATAAAAGCTTGCCTATAAATAGTTATAACTATTATATACATACATATACATATGTATATGTATATATACTTATGTTTTATCTTCATTTTTTTCTTAATTATTATATAAATAATTTCAATTTAAATAAAAAACAACTTCAACAACAACGTGCAGCTGGCAAAGTCAACAAACCCGGAAATTTGCCAAGCGAGCAGAACAACGGAATTTTATCGTAATAATTTTTATTTATTTCTTTCTTTTTTTTTACAATAACAAATATTTATAAACAAAACAACAATCGAGCAAAAACCGCAACAAAAATGTTATTTTCTTTCTTTCAGCTAAAAATAACATTTGCAGTTCTTCTTTTGTTGTAGTTCTTGTTGTTGTTGTTGTTGATTTCGCTTTGCTTCAACAAATAAATAATAATAATAATACAAACAGTTGTTTTCTTGGGTTTCTCACCTTTTCCTTATGTTTTTTAATTATTGTGATTCAAGCTGCTTCTATTTAAAAACGCGCTAAAAATTCATTCATACATTTTTCTTCGCCGAACACTTTTATCTGCTTTCAAACAACAACAAAAAAACTTAACCAAAAAAAAAACAAATTCCAGAATTCATATGAAGAAGCAAAATGGTTTGCAACGCGCGCTCTTTTGTTTTTTCTGCCTCAGCAGTGTAACGGTTAATGACGTATACTATTGGCTTGCTTTCGCCTGTTTTATTCCGTTGCGCTGACCAACGAACCAAGCGACCAACCGACCGGCTTAACTGTTCAAAGTCAACTGACGAGATCTTGCAGCCCTTCACATTCTGTGCGCCTTATCGATAGAACTGGTTCGATAGCACAATATCGAACCGGCATATTAAATCGAACATGTAGCTCGATATCGTAACAGTATGTTAATAACATTGGTATTGAACAGTTTCTATTGAGTTTTTCCAAATTCTACGTACGTATTCTGAAAATCGCAAACAGCTGATTTGTCAACGGTGGCTGCCTAATGGCAAGGGGGCAAGTAAACATGCATCTATCAGCTTATCAGAGAAACCAACACAACATCATTCCCAATGCAGGTGAGAGGTTATCAGCAGCGTCTACGGGGAGTAGCTGGAGACGGATGCGATTGCGGCTAGCGCTAGTATAGAACAAGACGCTGGACGTTACATTCGAAGATATCGACGCGCAGAGGACCAAACACAGCAGTAGCCACGGCCGTAGCAGCAGCAGCAGCAGCAGCATCAGCAATAGCAACGACATGCAGCATATGAAAACAGTCACACGCCTCCATCCGCTGGGCATCATCAACTACTGCCCAGTTATAACAGCAACCCGTACATTTAACAGCTATCGGCTTCGGCCCGGGCCTGCCAACCTGCTCGCAGCACAACAACATGAGACGAAGAGCAAATCGCCGAGAGCGCTGCCGGTCGCAGCAACGCCGGCAGCTTTGACAACGATCAGAAACATTTCAAATTCGATTGCGGTAAGTGAGTGTGTGTGGAAACGATTAAGTTCAGAAAGCTAATTAATTGCTCCAGCTGAGTGCGAAACGTGCAAATTGTTAATAACTATTGAATCTATCAATTGACAGTGTGAATTGCATCGCTGTGCAGTAAATTAGCTGTTTTTCGTGAAAATCTGTCACGGCGATCTCGTTGACGCGAATTGTGCGACGCAAAGGTGTTTTTTTATTTGTTAATCAGTCACGTTTTTATACCCTTTCTATGAGTCGATCGATTTTGTCAGTTGTTTTGTGACTGGGATGAAAATAATTAAAGGATATATATTCATCATCAACAGTAACTCATTTGCCTGAGTAAATCGAGCTGTTTCCTTTGCATATGTATATACATATATATATATATATATATATATATATATATATATATATGGCTATAGTCACTTGATCTATACGATCAGCATTATGTATATGTATACGAATTTGGACTGATTATTACTATAAAAAAATCCTTTTTGCTCAAGTTAACTGTTTATTGGCAACTTTATTTGCCAGAAAGGGTATTCGTAGCTCGCCTTGCTAACTTTAATTTCTTCTATTTTTCTTCATATTGTTCTCTATTGTTTCTGTGCGTGGCTGTCGCTTCGAAGCCGTGCTCGAGTCACCCTGTGCTTGTTTGGCTTCGTGCGCGTTTAATTTAAATTAATACATAAAGCTTTAGATTTTTTTTTCTATGTTGATTCGAAATATCAAATTCTATATTATTGCAGTCGACAACAGGTGTCAACCCAAGGCCCCACCCATACGGTTTTCATTTTCAGTGTGTGAGATTGAAGCAGTAAAGAACCTAATGTGAATGTGGTTTTATACGCGCATATGCATATACATATAAATATATATGTAAACTCCTTGAAAATGGCATATGCATGTATACATACTTTATCTAGATGTGCAGTTGAGACCATTTAGACAAGTCTCTCTGAGTTTTTACATGCAAAAAAAAAAATTCAGATACATACATATGTATGTTTATACATTGTATAGCTTGAAGATCACGAAGGCCAGATGTGCCTAATTCTGAATACAGCAAATACAATGTATTTTCTGAAGTAATCTAGTATAGGTAATCCTACCCTATATGATCTACATCCGTTCATCCATCCGTTTAGTTATCTGTATATGTATACATATAAACTTTTACCAGATCTAGAGCTTTGACATTTTAGGTCGTCGTCAGATTTATTTCAAACTATCAATTAATATTTCCACTTCGATTTGAAACGATATTAAATGTCTGCTATTTTTAATCTCAACATTTGTTTTTTTTTCTCTCTCGTTTTCCTTTTGAAATTGATTCAGTTAATTTTCTTAGTTTACTTTACTTCAATATAAAAATACACAGTTACAGGGTGACTTCTAGTCGTGCAATAAATCTTTCTCATTTTTCTAGGAAAACAGCTGTTTACATTTTGCCATAAACAAAAATATTTTTTAATCTGGCCACCTACAGATATATTAACTAACCGAAACTGAATCAGAGTAGAGAGAATTTAAAGGAATTTACAGAACGCTCTTCAAGCGTCTCGTGATTGGATTACTATTTTATAGAATTGTTTAACGGAAGCTCGAAGACAGAAAGAAACAAAGAGAAACCTTAAGCAATAAAATTCTAAGCTATCAAAGCTATTTTCTAGCTTAAATTGAGGAAATACCAATGAAACGCAGTTTTGCCAAACAAATTCTAAAAATCCATCCCATAATTTCTATAAAAGTCTTATTGAGCTATCAGCGAAATTTCATCATCGAATCGGGTTTCAATAACTGTTTATTTTTCAATATTATCTTTCTTTATGTTATTTACATTTTTCGAATAATTGTCTGGAAAAGTGCTAAAGCTTCTCAATCTCTCCTGGCTCAATGCATATGAAGCGCCTCGATTAGGTTCAATTTGATGATAACGAGCCGATATTTTTACCCGGAGTGTCCGTTCATTTTCAGTCTTATCGCCAATCGAATTTGAACCTGTGACACTTGGGCGATGAGCTCGACGCAAATAGCTGCAAATAGACGCCCATTAGGGGGGTCCATATAAAAATGGTATGTGCCTCTATGGGATGACCTCTGAACCGGGCTGCAAATAAAAAAAATATTCCTCTTGGCTGCACACGACACAAATACAACTATCAAACTATATACATGTACATATATACATATATATATTAGATTGAAGACGTTAATCTTATCGTACCAAAGTCAGGAAACGAATTAGATACTCTACACGGAAAGTGAAAGCGGGCATATTTGGTTTGACTACTTTGCAGAACGGATGCAGATTTCGTATTGCTTCTGAACTCTGCCCTTGAAATATCTAATCTTGCAACAAATGAAGAATATCTTAGATAATAGACTCATGCTTGAATGATATTCAAATATTATATGAATATACTTCCTACCAATTTCCTGAGTCTTGGTATAGTTCTTCGACTGATGAGTCGGACTACATTTGCTGCTGAGCTATTATAGGAACCACTTGGAACCGTAGCCTCAAGGTGAAATCTTACTATTAGCTCTACCTAATTAACTCAGAGTCACTCACTCTCTTGCAAGCATCCTTGTAAGTTCTACACTATAAACTCTACCGTTCTACTCCGTTAGGTCGGTTCTGCTTTCTCTGCTCTCTCTGTGAGACTTAAGGCGTATTTTAATTTCCACTTAGGCAATCTTTGAGATCGCGCTCTCTTCTCTGGAGTTGCAAAACTTCTCCATTTACCCACTGATGTAATTGTTTCTTAGCTAAAGTCACAGTTTGAGTGTTACTGCATTGAGTCGATCACATCACTATGCGGCGATAGGGCGTTGCCTTATCTCTGCATATATATAATATATAAATATATGCGAGCGAAATAAAAAAAAATTCCATGTTTTTTGAACCCATTGAACCGATGGCTGGCTCGCTCGCATGCGCGCGGTAGCTGGAAAATAATATTCTACAAAATATAAATATTTGCGTCGATCGCTCGTTTCGTAAAGTAAATAAAAAAGTGGCAAGTGATGCGTTTGCAATTCATTGCATTGTCGATCGTTGCCGCAATCGGTACAGATTTCTAAAGTATTATATTCACAATGTCTCGACAGAAAATGGCGGACCAAAAGATGTTGCAGGCAACGCTGAAGGAGAGCGACCCGGAGCTGGCCGATATCATAGTCAAGGAGAAGGAGCGCCAACGGGAGGGCCTCGAGATGATTGCCAGCGAGAATTTCACCTCGTTGGCTGTGTTGGAGAGCTTGAGCTCCTGTCTGACCAACAAATACTCTGAGGGCTATCCGGGCAAGCGGTAAGATTAATCGAGATTATTATATAATTTGGATTACCGAATCTGAATCGAGTGCATGCTGAACTGTTGCATCAGGCTTATCTGAAGTCGATTTGTATTTGAGTTTTATGCAACTTTTAAGTGAGAGTAAACGAGCTCTTTGCTTAACGGCAATCCAAACTCTTCTAATTCTCTCATTTTTTGGAACATCTAAAGATGCCTGCGCACAATGAAAGCTTATGAAAAGCTTTCGTTGAGCTACTACATAAGCATGCCTTCGGCTTTCAACTAAAAGAACTCGTAGTACTCATATAAAGCTCCTCCTTTCTCTTCAAACAAAAGTCTTACTCTTCGACTTTAAAAGCTCCTCTTGGAATGTTTTCAGCAGTATGAACTACTACAAATTATCCGATTTACAACACTATTTATATCAGCTTCTACGGATTGAGTTTATTTCATTTTTTATTTATTTGCTTGAGCTAGATTAATCCATGAACTAACCAAATGTCATTGCACCACAATTTAATCAATAGATTTCTACAAATTTCTACTCTCTATCTCTCCCAATTGACAGCTATTATGGTGGCAATCAGTTCATTGATCAGATTGAGAACCTGGCGCGGGCTCGCGGCCTCGAATTGTTCAATCTCAACAGCAACGATTGGGGCGTCAATGTGCAGCCCTATTCCGGATCGCCGGCCAATCTGGCTGTCTATACGGGCGTACTGCGTCCACATGATCGTATTATGGGCCTGGATCTGCCCGATGGCGGCCATTTGACGCACGGCTTCTTCACGCCCAGCAAGAAGATCTCGGCCACATCCATCTTCTTCGAGAGCATGCCGTACAAGGTGAATCCGGAGACGGGCCTGATTGACTACGACAAGCTGGCTGAGGCAGCGCGCACATTCCGCCCTCAGATCATCATCGCTGGCATCTCGTGCTATTCACGTCTGCTCGATTACGGCCGTTTCCGTAAGATCTGTGACGAGGTCGGCGCCTATCTGATGGCCGACATGGCGCACGTCGCCGGCTTGGTGGCCGCCGAGCAGATCCCCTCTCCATTCGAGTACGCCGACATCGTGACCACAACGACGCACAAGACGCTGCGCGGTCCACGTGCCGGCGTCATCTTCTTCCGCAAGGGCGTGCGCAGCACCAAGGCCAACGGCGAGAAGGTCCTCTACGATCTGGAGGAGCGCATCAATCAGGCCGTATTCCCGGCCCTGCAGGGTGGACCGCACAACAATGCCATTGCTGGCATTGCCACGGCCTTCAAGCAGGCCAAGTCGGCCGAGTTCAAGGAATACCAGGCGCAGGTGATAAAGAACGCGAAGACACTGTGCAAGGGTCTCGTCGATCTGGGCTATACGGTGGCCACCGGCGGCACCGATGTCCATCTCGTGCTGGTGGACGTGCGCAAAACCGGACTGACCGGCGCCAAGGCCGAGCTGGTGCTCGAGGAGGTGGGCATTGCGTGCAACAAGAATACGGTGCCCGGCGACAAGTCCGCCATGAATCCGTCCGGCATACGCCTGGGCACGCCGGCCCTAACCACTCGCGGCCTCCTCGAGAAGGACATCGAGCAGGTGGTCGTCTTCATCGATGCCGCGCTGAAGATCGGCTCCGAGGCCGTCAAGGCAGCGGGCAGCCCCAAAATGGTCGACTTCACCAAGACCCTGGCCGAGAACGCTAGCATCAAGCAGCAGCTGGAGGAGCTCCACAAATGCGTCATCAAATTCAGCACCACCTTCCCCCTGCCCGGCCACGATCTGCTCTAATGGGCACATCAAAAATAACTATTTTTTTTTTTTTTTTCATTCTCGTCAACATTTTTACAAATCCTGCGCTTATCTATAGCTTGATATATTGGTATATATTTTGATATTTAGATATCTAATCTTGTACAGAGGCGCAACGATTTAATTAAGATATTAAAAATCGACAAACAAAAATATATATATATAATTTTTAACCAAATGCGTTTGTTTTTCACAAATTTTCTACTAATCGTAAACTTTTTTATTCTCTCCTTTTGTTGTGGTTCATAGATAGTTCCTTAACTCGCATTTAAATGTACTAAATATATAAATGAATTAAACATATATGAAAGTCCATGTAATGACATTTCATTATTAAATTCTACATAGTATATCATACAGATTATTCTTATAAATCTTTATGGGAAATGTGAAATAAATACGAGAACTATTATTTGTCGAAACTGAAATTCTGCTTCATATTCGAATATCGTTTATATTGCTTTTCTTTGCTAACTTTGTTATCACATGGTAATGAAATTGATTTGATTTTCATACTCATCCGCGAAAGTGAAGTGAGTATATTAGTTGTGTGCAATTTGAATACGAATTTGGCTCACAAATAAGCTTTTTTTATTTTAATTAGCAAACTAAAATTGTTTTTTCTTTTCCTGTGAAACGACTGGAAATGAAACGTACGCATAAATATGGTACTATTCTTGTTTTTCATTTAAAACGAATAATTGAAATTATCATCTCTAGAAGTGTGAATTAAATTAATTTGATCTTGAAACGCATGGAAATGAAATTGATTTCCGTTAACTTATAATTTTTAAATTAAATTTTTAAAAATTTCTTCGGGTTAGATATTTTCGAATATAAATTAGGATAAAATTTGGTTTACATAATTATCTCTATGCCGTCTAGATAAAATTCATAAAATATGAGAAATTTTCAATGCTTAAGTTAAATTCGGACTTATATATAAAATAGATGGTCATTAAAAGTATATATAGGCATATATATATATATATATATTACAGGTCTCGCGCTCTCTCCCTCTATCTTCCAATCTCTTCTTCTTCGGATCGACCTTAGCTTAGTGGGTGTTCCGCAAAATCAATTTTGGTCAGCTCCTTGCTGAGGCGCGCATCCCGATGGAAGCGCGAGTTGTGTGTGGACAGGGACCACTTGGTCTTGAAGTTCTTCATGCAGATGAAGCACTCGTACTCCTTGCTCTGGATCTCCGAGTGCCGCGAGGCAATGTGACGTCTCAGGGCGTTCATCGACTGCAGCCGGCGCTTGCAGAAGCTGCAGATGAGCGCAACGCCAGCTGGGGCGCTCTCCTCCACCGTGGCCACAGCTGAAAGAATTCCAAGTGAATTGAAAGAAAAATAATAAACCAAGAACTTTCGCATGATGTGTGGATGAAAAATAAGAGCTGGGCTTTTAAGCTGGAAATACGTATAGTTGCCTTGGCTTTTATTGTGTAAATTTCATTTGGAATTCTGGCTAGAATTTCCTTTTGCTTTTTGTTGCTTATCAAAAGGAGACGAAAATTTTTATTATTTTTCCATTTTTTTTCGATTTTTTATATATTTTTTTTTTATATACATGCATATTTGGTACGCTTCACATTTTTTTTTTATTTTTTTTTTTTTATTATTATTATTATTATTACACGAGACACAAAAATTTCAAATGTTTTCTTTTTTTTTTGGTTTTGGGATTTTTATATAGAAATTGTTTGCTACCCTTGCAGAGGCAGTTGCTATAAAGTATTTCTATTAATTTTATATCAAATTCGCAAATCTAGTGTCTGTCAAACTGATGTTTCATTCAGTTGTTTCAGCAGGCAAAGTTGCGTTGTTCCACGCCGTTTCGTTCCGAACTGAATTTGACATTAAGCATGCGTCAATTTATCTCAAGTGTTTCGTTTCACAACGTTCCAGTCCTAACTTAGCTTTCACTCACTGGACTCTCGCATTCGTCAATGAGTGCAGATATACAAGTGTGTTTCATTTCCACCCATCCCAGTTGCATATTTCCGTATAAAGGACTAGTGTTAAGTGGCTTCGAGGCATTTTCGGTACAAAACGATTGTTCCATTCCATTGCATTCCAATTGTTAAAGCTATGCTGACACAGCTGCAGCTGTTCCTCATAAGATATTATCAAAAATTGCTTTCTCATATAAAAAACTACAAAGAATTTGATTTTTGTTTTCTTTCTATGAACTCGAAGTTTAGTTAACTATATGTACTACATATATATACATATATATATATATATATTGATGCATTTATCATATGGCTGGCAATTTGCTTGAATGCAGTTCTGCAAGGGCATACAGACTTCGGCTAGCCGAATATAGCCTTTCCTAGTTCGCTATGACAATATATATATATATATATATATCTCTGTCTCTCTCTCTTCTCATTCTAAATATAATATATGATCTGACATCAAAAATTGTTTGCAAATTGCAATCGATACGATACATATATATATATATATATTAATTATATAATACGTATGTTTTGTTCATTTAACATTTAGCCTTTCAATTAACTAGGTATATAATATATATATTAATCTTTATCTTCATCTTTAGCATGTGTGTGGGAATTTGATTTCTCAATTAACTATAATTTGTTTTGTTGCTTTCAATATTTATATTTAAATGTAAATACGATACTTAGTATAAAATAAACTAGAATATACAATGAGGATATAAATACATATATTCATATATGTATATGTATGTGAATTATATATTTTTGTACAAGTTGAGCAAAAAAAAAAAAAACATAAATATATATGTTGACTGTGGTTGCTTGGGAACTGTCAGCCTGCTCGGGCTTTGGTTCTGGCGCTCTAGAAATTATTTATATTATATTGTAAGCTTAATGTATGTACAGTTATGTGACTTTACTTGGCTAACTAATTAACTAAAATACATAAATTAATTTCACTTTGACAGATTTGCTTCAATTAATAAGGATATATATATATATAAATATATATGTATATAGATATCTGCTTATGACATGGCTTAGTCAGTTTAGACAGATATTAAGATATACAAAATGTATCAAACTATATATGTTATGTACACAACTTTTAATTTTAAGATTTTAGGCTAAACAACTTGGACAAAGTAAGTGCTAATGACTGGAAAAGTGTTTAAACATTATCATTCTGGTTTTGCCTCTGCTTCTTCTAAAAGTTTTCTTGTTTTTCTTATTTTGTTTTCATTTTCGGTTTTGGTGCCACAAATATCTTTCGTTTTGGCATTTGCTTTTCTAATGGACGTAATTTTCTATAGCTTGCTCTAGCTTGCTCTCCCCTCCCTCTCGCTCCCATTTCGCTCGCTTTCTCACTCTGTCTCGCTCTACATCTATCTCTGTCTGTGTCGTGCGGCTGTTTCAATTGACGCCATGCTGCACCTGAAAGATCGTCCATCAGTTCTCCGTTTTAATGGCCACCTTCTGCTCGTGGGAGATGCGTATGTGCTCGCGCAGGCTGTATTTGTTTTTGAAATTCTTATTGCAGAGATCGCATTTGCGCGGCGGTTGGGGCGTATGTTGGGTGCGAATATGTCTCCAAAGATTCACCGTGGTAATAACCATTTTGCAAAACTGACATTCTGTCCACTTATTATTGGGTGAATCTAAAAATATACAGAAAAATAGGACAAAATTAGGGACATTGCGAGATTTTGGATCATTCGTTTTCAACTATATTTTCTGTTTCATTTCACTTTCTTTTGTATTCTTAACACACACAAATGTACATTAGGGGGGACAATAACTATATATAGACAAACACTTTGGAGACATATTCGACGCCAAAAAAAAAAAAAAAACAAAATAAATAAAAACAAACACAAAAATATAATAATATTCTACAGACAACAATTAAGAAATATATAACCATGTTTCACGCACACACACACACACACACACGCCAACAAGAATCAGAGCAAACATTTAATACACATATCTACATTTTATTAGACTAAATTAAAATAATTAAATTATAATAGTTAGGCTACTTTAGCATAAGTACTAAAATTATAAAAACTTAAAGCATTCGCAAAGAACTTCAGAACAATATATGATTTAGAATTCCTTCGTACAAATATCTATATAATGCCTTATATGTATATAGATTTATGTTATACGAATATAGATCTTTATCTTGATTATAGATTAAGATATATATGTACATATATTTATGCTTTATAAGTATAGATCTTGCTAGGTTTTTTTTTTACAATTTTTGGACTCTTATTAATAACTAAAGATCTTCCCTGAGTTGTTTATAAAGTTGTTTTGAATTTTCTTATGCTTAATTTCAATGTTCTTTGCATAAATCTGTACGTTATAATGTTCAAAATGAGAGTTAAGAGTATATAGCTGGCTATAGTAATATACTATATCGTAATATACTATATATACTATACAGATATATTAAAATCCAACCTCATTTATGCTATGTGGAACATTTTCTACTAAAGGTAATTATATACACCTTTGTTTTGTATACAAATGCATATTTGATCTATTCTAAGACTATATATAATGGATAATAATTTTCCACTAACTAGAGGACTTACCATTCGTGCCGCTGGCTTTGCTGTCCGTTTTGACTGGTGTCACGGAGACGGTGGTTGTGGCACCTGTCGTCGCAGCGCTGGGATCTTCGAGCACCGCCTGGGCGGTGGCTGTGGCTGTCCCACCGGTCGCTGTGCCCAGCAGGCGAGCTGCAAGCAAAAGAATTCCACATTAGTTTCAGTGCACAATCAAAATTGATATACATGCATGTCTGGCACGCCCACTCACTCATCTCGATGGCAATTTCCGCATTGTCGGGATCCGCTTGATACTTCTCCTCGATCTCGGACTCGGTCAGAATCTCGTATTCGGATGAGTATTGAGCGACAGTCTGGGCAGCCGCCGTCGTTGCATCCTGTGAAGTTTGCGGCGTCGCGCCATCAGACAGTCGATCGTCTACCTCGCTGACTATATAATCGGGTATATCCATTTTAACGGCACCGCGCAAAAATGTCATCTCAGCAGCTGCAAGTAAAGGATTCAATAAGAATTAGTTAAGTCGAGATATATATGACTTCTATATGCAAAGTTCAGTCTTGGTTTTCAACAAGAGCGAGAACTGAAGTCTCTAGCTCTTTTCAGCTTATTAACAGTCATATGATATAGTAATCAGATTAAAGCTAAAGCTATGTTATAGAAATCTGATTTGACAGCCAATAATGTATAACTTCACTTGAAGTTGAAGAAAATTCAAGATAGTTTTACCACTAAGCAGCTTGATAGACATTGAGACATTTGCATAACAACCCATTGATTGCTATAATACTGATAAACCTGATGTATTTAAATATCTATCTAAATACTATATAAATCTAACTATACATGAAAGATAATTATTAGCCGAATTTCGAAGTGCATCTACAAAATCTTTGCTATATAAATCTTGATCTATCATCACACTCAGTTAATTGGCTAATTTTTTAAGTGGTTCCAAGGCTTTGCTTACCTTTCATAATGGTCTAGGTACTATAAATGTTATATATATCATAAGATAAATCATACAAGTCAGCTAACTAGCTTTTCAAAGTATTTGGTAGGATTTGCGTACTTTTCATAGTGGTCTATATATATGCTATATATATCATAAGATAAATATATATGCTATATCCTATATAGCATATCTATATATATCATATGCTATATATATTATAAGATAAATTATACAAGTCAGCTAACTAGCTTTTCAAAGTATTTAGTAGGATTTGCGTACATTCACAATGGTCTAGGTACAATAAATGTAACATCAATTATACATATATCAGCTAACTGGGTTTTCATAGGATTTCCTGGGACTTGCTTACTTTTCACAATGGTCTGCTCGTCCTTGACGGCGTAGTCGACCGTTTCGGTGGTGTAGATGTTGTCATCATCGTCCGAGAAGGTGATCTTTCGTTTCTTTACGGTATTCGCGGCTGGCAATGATACCGTATTGGTGATAGTCAGGTGCTGCGCCTGCGCTGCGGCCTGCTGTGGATGTTGTTGTTGCTGCTGTTGCTGCTGCTGTTGTTGTTGCTGCTGCTGCTGTTGCTGCTGCTGTTGTTGTTGTTGTTGCTGAGGCGGCGCTGCCTGTACTTGGATGTGCTGTATCTGAGTGCTTTGTACATGATGGTGCTGCTGCTGCTGTTGTTGTTGCTGCTGCTGTTGTTGTTGTTGCTGCTGTTGCTGTTGGGTTTGCTGCACCTGCAGTTGAGCAGCCGCAGCAGCAGCCACCTGCGTTTGTACTTGCGTTGCCGTTGCCGTTGCCTGCAACAGCGTGGCCGTTGGTATTTCGATAGTTTGCGTATTGCCCGCAACAGTCACCTGCTGCTGCTGCTGCTGCTGCTGCTGTGGATGTTGCTGCTGCTGCTGTTGGTGTTGCTGCTGCTGATGATGATGTTGCTGCTGCTGCTGTTGGTGTTGCTCATTGACGGCACGTATTGTGCTGGGTATCGTCTTGATGAGCTTGTGCTCGCTAATGAGCGGCACCACCGGCATCTGCGGCTTCTCCTTCTCCTCGGCGGTGAGGCCCTGCACGGCGAGCAGCTCGGCAGTTTGTAGAAAGGATTGTAGTGCCTCTTGTTGCACGTTCACCTCGCCCTAGTAGTCAGCACGCGATGAGAATTGTTTAGCAAAAGGTGAGTTAATTAACTGATATTCCCTTACCTGATACATAAACTCGACTATGGAATTGAGATCTTCGAATTTGATAAACTTAAATATAATGACTGGATGCGGATGCGGATTCTCTTTGAATATCTCCTTGAAGTAGGACGAACAAGAGCTGAGCACCACTTTGTGCGCCTTAATTCGGCGCCCATCCACGCACAGGCTGACATCGACGAAATCATCGTTTAGCCGATGATTGTCCAGTGAATAGGTCAGATGTCTCAAGTAGTTGTTCCAGCGCAACGAGTATTGCTGTGTGGTGGCCATTGCTTGAAGTCGGGATCAACAACTCTGTGTGCCCCACCACCAATCGAGAGACACTGACACTCTACCGCTGCCGCTGCCACTGCCGTTGCTGCCGCTGCCTCTGCCTAATCCAATTAACCCGCTGAAACTAATGCGTGTTCTCGTGTGCCCAAAACACAGAAAATGATACTAATAATAACAATAATAAACGAATGTAAGGCAACCAAAACACAAATAAACAAATTCAACTAATTAATTTCACACTCGTGCTGCATTTGTTGCACGGCCAATTCAAAAAAATATTTGTTGTTGTTTGTGTCGCTGTTTGTTTATTTTCAGTGTATTTTAGCAGCTAATTGCGGAAAACGACGCCAGAGCAAAACATTCCCAGCATTTTATTACAGCACGCCGAATTACAATGCCTGCAGCATATGATTAGGGTTTACACATTTTGACTTAGCATTTATTTATTTATTTATTAGCCTTTTGTAGGTATTCATTTTTCAATATTTTCTCACTTTTTTTCACGGCAAAATTAGTTGCTTTTTGGCAAAGCGTATGTTATTGTGGCATTATGTTATACTCAAAATGTGCTTGCTATCGACGGCCTATCGATAACAGTGAAAACTGTTCAGCTAACAGCGGTGACAGCGGCAACTGTTAAATGACACACACACGCCAGATGGCGCCAGCCTCAACTGTTAATTCAAAGTCCAAGTCAAATTTTGCGTTGAATAGCTTACAACTTTATTTTACCGTATCCATAAAATTAATAACAATAAAAAAAAAAACGTTTCTAGTGAAAGTAAATAAAAAAAAAAAATTACAACACATACTCTATAGCAATTTCTATGTCATAAAAACGCGCACAGCCAAACGATAAACCAGTCGCAACAAAAATCCATACACTATGGCCCGACACAAATAGTCCAGAACGTAGAAGACTTTCATGCGAAAACGCGCCCCGCTGCTACTTTCGGGACTTTCGTTCATCAAAAACTCCTTGGCGCCGCGTATGCCATTCTGAAAGAAGTCCACATAGTTGATATTCGCATGCTGAAGGAAGCCAAAGGTCGCACTGCAGAAAAAAAAATCAATAAGAGAGAAGAAATATTGGAATTTTATTCTTGTTTTTTTGTTTCTTTTTGTTTCTTTTGTTTTTCACGCGCTTACAGTTCCTCTTTGGGTACATTGTCATGCAAGGCTCTCATATTGTCATTCGAGAAGTGCCATTCGGTATTCGCGAACACCCTCAACGCCTGAAAAGCGGCAAAGATGCGACGCTGCAGCTTCAACAGGCTATAAAGAAAAGCGGAAAACATATGTATGGAGTAAGGATCTCTCGGAAGACCGCAGCGCACTTACAAGGGCTTCTCGTTGGACAAGCGGAGCAACGTGTCCACCACAATGGCCATCATAATATGCATTGTTATAAACTAGACCAACAAAATGAGATAGATGCAGAGATAGAGAGAGTGAGTGAGAGAGAGTGAGAGAGAGAGAGAGAGAGAGATAGGCACTTCCACTTACCCTCACAAAGTGCAGCACTGGACACATGGTAATGCTACCACCCGGCAGCCAGAGCGTCTTCTCGAACGGATTCTGGCGTATATACCGCTTGCCAATGTCTATTACCTGGCCCATGGAAATGGGCGAAATATTGGACACGGCGCAGTTGACCACGTCGATGGGCTGGTCTTTAGCAGGCGGCTTCTTCAAGTAGCTGGCGGCGGCTATGACCAGAGCCCGTGCGACCACATCGGCGGGCACAAAATCGGCCACTATGTGGGGATCGCAGTTCTGAGAGCGTAAAATGCCTACGCCACAAGCGACCAACATTCCGATGGGTCCATTGAAATTGTCCGCCCAGCCAGGCACGGGCTCCTCCAGCGTGGAGATGACTGTTGAAAGGCGTGGCAAAGAAAGAGAGAGAGAGAGAGAGAGAGAGAGAGAGAGAGAGAGAGAGAGAGAGAGATTGACAGAGAGGAGGGTAAAACTAATTGGAAAGCTCTATATGTATACTTAGTCTTCAATAGATATTCACTTAATTTTCAAATGATCTTGTATTATGTTCTCTCAGGATGGAGATACGCGGAACCAGGAGTTGAACGTAAAGCTAATAATCCCAGAATTCCATGTGTCACACACAGACGCAATCATACATAAGAATGCTCTCTGCCAATATACAGTGAGACAGACAGACGGAGTGACGAACAGATAGAGTTATCACGTCATCTTAATCAAGAATATATATGCTTAATGGGATCTGCCACATCTCCTTCTATATACACTCAAGCTCCTTGGATGTTTTCACCCCCATATATGGAAATGGTTCTACCCAGCTTTCTAGAATGCTCGAATTGATATCAGTCGAACATTTAACAGCTCAAGTCGAATAAGCAAAGTACTTAAAACAACACCAATCCGATCACCTACCGATTGATGGCCTGAATATAAGAATGGGCAGACGATCCCTATAGTCATTGGCCACGTGCTCAGCCAGGCTCTTTGTGAAGGTATAACTATTCGGCTGAAAGCTGCTGTACCTGAAAAGGTTTCAAAAGACAGAATCACAGAGACACACCGTTAGTGATGTAGCAAGGATGGCTGAACCCTATTTGGACCTACTTCAAATTGAAAATATCTAAAGTTTGCTGATCGTAGGTCTCGGCTAGTTTGATGGTTGTACGCCAGTCCGCATAAGGTGGATAGATGCGCTCCTCGACATCGATGACCGTGGGATTCGAGTAGGTGGTGGAGACATGGATGAAGGCCTTCAGCTGTTTCCATTGCAGAGCGAGCTTGACCAGCTCGTGAGTGGCGCGTGTGTTCAACAAAATGGCTTTGGCCAAAGGATCATCAAAGCTGAAAGCATCGGAAATATGTTTACAGCTCGCTGAACTGGGGGCCTTAACACTCTTCCACCTACCGCACCGAGGCAGCCGAATGGTAGACCACGTTGACATTGGTTAACTTGGCCAGATCCGTTTCGCTAATGCCCAGGCCCAGCTTCATGCAGTCTCCGGCAATGGGCACTACTTTGGATATAGTTTGAGGCTGTTCGCGGCGCAAGCGGTCGAAGAGCTTCGAATTGAGCACGTCCTCCAAGCGCTGCTCGATTGCGACTCCTTTCTTCGGACGCAGCAGCACATAGATCTTACCCAGGGACGGACAGGAACGCAAGAGTTTTTCGATGAGCGCTTTCCCAACGAAACCTTAATAAGGAAAATCAATATATCCGACATATGTATATATATATTTATGTATGTATATCGCTGTAGGTTCGCCTACCCGTGCCGCCGGTCACGAAGATCTCCTGATCCTTAAACGAAGCTGAAATCGACATATTGTTACGCACGAATCGCCGACCAAATGCAATCTGAAAAACTGAACGACAATTGAAACTCGGCTGTGCCTGAACTGTGTCCCCCATTATGCAAATCGCATTCGATTGGGAGCAGCGTGTCAATTTGCTGAATATTCAGCTGAACACTAGAAGAATTTACAAAAGTTATTCATTTCCGACCCCTTAAGACATGGCATCAATAAAGTAGGGCGTCTGATACTAATTCCTTGATCTTTATACAATGCAGTACAGGTTTCTTGGTTTTCAATTTGAGCCAAACACGTTCAGGTATATGCCTACGAAAGTACTTATGACCTCCAGCTTTATAATGTATGTATATACCTAGCTAAATCTAAATTTTAGAAGTCTTGCTTGCATAGTTCCTGTGTTACTAGGTTTTTTCTTTAATAGTTGTGCGTTTTACCAGAGAATTGTAGTAATCTTTCATTTACATAATTAGACTTATCTCAGTAGTGCGCATGAATTATTTAATGTACCTTAATAAAATTACGGTATTATGGCATACAACTAGGCGCATACCACAAATTTTGTGGTTCTAACCCATATAGCTCTCGAGTTCCATGAGATTAATTATAGTTCTTTCCTCTAAATGCAGAGTACAATAAGTTTCGATATAGGGAAACCAAGTAATATAAAGTGATGTAAACGGGAAGTACGTGTGTCCAACGGGTTCATGTTTAATACAATTAAATGAATAAGCATTTATGTAAATGTTCACTATAGTATGTGTAACACATACATAGCTCGCAATATCTATGTGACAGAACTTTTCATATAGCCATAGTTCAGTCGATCCAGGCGATTCTATAAATAATATAATGCGATATCGTCTACCAAAAACAGGCTCAACTATTTTTAAAACTGGTCTAAAAGAAAACGGGGAAAAATAATTGATATGCTGCGATCAAAAAAGTCTGAAGAATGTAAAATTACCATTTGCAGTTAAGAGAATCTTCCATAGTTAAGTGAATGTGGCACAAAATCAATTTGAAAAAATAAAAATAAAAATAAAAAAACCAAAAGCATTTAAAAAGAATCAAAGCAAAGCTTTCAGAACGATGGCAACAAATTGTGATAGCGGTTAGAAACGGAACTTTAATCGCAGCCAGATGGGTCCGCTCGCTCGTTTGCTTTTGTGTTCGCATGGAGTGGTCCACATTGCAAGTTTAAGGTCATTAACATAAACAGATATCTCTATGTGTGTGTTTGTGTATGTGTATGTGTGTGTCTGTGCTCCAATGCCAACTGCATTTGGAGAGCGAGAGAACGCAAGCTTAAACCAGCTGTGCGTGCATGTTGGGTAGGTTTTTGAGAAGAACGAAAGCTCGACAAGTTCGCTGACCCCCTCACACTCTCATACAACGGTACATTTTTCTAGCCATATACACGCACGGATATACAAACTAACACAAGTACGTGCATATACCTGTATGTATGTATATGTATATGTATATGGGTAAAAGAGAATACAATTTTCATTTGCATTTCACAATTTAATTAACATTTTTAGGCGTAAACTTATAGTCATTCAATACGCATGCAATTAGATAATACAAAAAAAATTAAGTACATGTACAAATATCAAATTTCAGCTTATATAAAATTTCAATGAAGCTGTGCAGCAGCAAGAGAAGCACACAGAGCGCGCAACTAGCTTTCTTGATTCACTTCCCCAGCAGCAACTCAAACGCTCATAGCAATATGTGAGAGTGAGCGAGTCGGTGTGCGCGTATTAATGCATTTGCCGGCCGGCAAAGCAAAAGGAGAGTTTAGAGCGAGAGCAAATGATGAGCGTAAAGACAAGCAGTGTGAGAGCAAGCATAGTTGAGTGGAAGAGGGGAAGTAGAGAGAAAGAGCGAAACAGAGAAGGGAGGCAAAAAGTAACAGAAAACATAGTTGGTAAAGTTTTTTTTTCCATCATATTTTTGTTTCACTTTGTTGTTTATAATTACATCATAATTAAAAAATAATACATAAGGTTTTGTTTAAGATTTTACAAAACTCTCTTAGTGTTGTTCTTGTTTTTTGCATATTTTGTGTGTTGTGTCTTTTATTTGCTTTTTTTTTCTGTTTTGAAAGGGAATATTTTAGTCGCTTTTCTGCTGCTGCTTCTGCATCTTCCTTGCAGGGAGTGTACGCTTGTATATAAGTGTTGCTTGTTGTCGTGTGTTGTTGTTGTTGTGGATTTTTGTTTTAGAAGTGGAATGGCATAGAGAATATCTAGTTGTTGTTGTTCTCAATTTGTTGTTATATTAAAAGGTATATTAAAAAAAAAAAAAAAAAAAAAAATATTATGCATTTATCATATATCTCATGTGAAATAAATTAAATTAATGCTAGAACACAACAAGACGACGACGAAGATGATGTGTGAATTTAACATAGCGTGCAGCTCCACATAGAAGTTGTTGTTGGTGTTGTTGCCACTCCACTTGCTGCTCCTCCCTGTTGGTTGGCGTCGCTGCTTAGAAGCACTTGCGGTGCACAATGGATGGGCCGGACTCATCGTACTCCTGCTTGGAGATCCACATCTGCTGGAAGGTGGAAAGCGATGCCAAGATGGAGCCACCGATCCATACGGAGTATTTGCGCTCTGGTGGTGCAATGATCTTGATCTTCATGGTGGATGGGGCCAGAGCGGTGATCTCCTTCTGCATACGGTCAGCGATGCCTGGGTACATGGTGGTGCCACCAGACAGCACTGTGTTGGCATACAGATCCTTACGGATATCGACATCGCACTTCATGATCGAGTTGTAGGTGGTCTCATGGATGCCGCACGCCTCCATACCCAAGAATGAGGGCTGGAACAGGGCCTCGGGGCAACGGAAACGCTCATTACCGATGGTAATGACCTGACCGTCGGGAAGCTCATAGGACTTCTCCAGAGAGGAGCTGGAGGCAGCGGTGGCCATCTCCTGCTCGAAATCGAGAGCCACATAGCAGAGCTTCTCCTTGATGTCACGCACAATTTCACGCTCGGCAGTGGTGGTGAAAGAGTAGCCACGCTCAGTGAGGATCTTCATCAGATAATCGGTCAAATCGCGACCGGCCAAATCCAGACGGAGGATGGCATGGGGCAGGGCATAACCCTCATAGATGGGCACCGTGTGGGAAACACCATCACCAGAATCGAGAACGATACCAGTGGTACGACCGGAAGCATAGAGCGAGAGCACCGCCTGGATGGCCACATACATGGCGGGTGTGTTGAAGGTCTCGAACATGATCTGTGTCATCTTCTCGCGATTGGCCTTAGGGTTGAGGGGGGCTTCGGTCAAGAGGACAGGGTGCTCCTCGGGAGCCACACGCAGCTCATTGTAGAAGGTGTGATGCCAGATCTTCTCCATATCATCCCAGTTGGTCACAATACCGTGCTCAATGGGATACTTCAGGGTGAGGATACCACGTTTGCTCTGTGCCTCATCACCCACATACGAGTCCTTTTGGCCCATACCGACCATCACGCCCTGATGACGTGGACGGCCCACAATCGATGGGAAGACAGCGCGGGGCGCATCATCGCCAGCGAAACCAGCCTTGCACATGCCGGAGCCATTGTCGACAACCAATGCAGCAACTTCTTCGTCACACATTTTGTAAGCTGCAAAGAACACAAGAAAAAAAATATTAATCAAAATGGCCACCATTTCCCCACTCTCTATATTAGAAGAGAGCGAGTATATCTCCGTGTGAGTGTATGTATGTATATTTATATATGTGTGTGTATGTATCTGCATTTCCTCTCTTTGAGCACAGAGGGGCAACACCCTGCACATAAATCAACAACTTGACAAAAAGCTCGAGAGTATATCACTTCGGCATATGCCGGTGCCAAGCAAGTGGCCAAAGGAGAGAGCCGCTCTTGTCTGAACAAGTAAATGTACGTGTGTATACGTTGACGTATAAAATGGCCGCCATTTGCACAAAGAAAAAATTCGAGAAAAAAAATTCACCACTTAAGAGCCGGCACCAAATATTTGTTTGATGTATTTGACTATGTACATTCGGTTCTACATTGATTTTTGTTTATTACCTTTTTGTTTTATTTAACAACAAACGACGAAAATTGTTTGAAAAACTGAATTGAAACTTTGCAATTCAAGTTGAAAATTTTGTAAACCACACTTGGTTATTGGTAGGAGGCGACGAGGCAATAGACTGACTGAAAATGCAACCGCACCGATTGACTGCCGAAAGAGGAATGAACAAACGAACGAATGCCAGTTACAGCTATTTCAAGCGCTGCTTCAATCGACGTCGTCGTCGCCGTCGCCGTCACCGTCGTCGTCGTTTTGATATCTGTACGAGCGTGCCGCTGCTCTGCCAGCTCACTCGCACGCAGCGTATGCTAGCGCATGCGTGCGATAGAGAGCGCACGATTAGCGCGCTTGGCTTGCCAACTTTTGTGACCATATATGGTCATGTTTCGAAGCGAATCGTCGTGAAGGAGAGCTGGAAATTGTCGCCGCTTTCGCTCTCTCACGCGTCGGCAACGGCGACGGCGACGTCGAATTCATAGCCAACGGTTGACAATGTTGAAGGTTTTCTCCATTTTAGCGCGGCTCATTAAAAAAACCGGCATTTTTGCATTCAAGAAATGCCGAATAACTTTAATGACGTGATTCTTTGACTATATCTGGCTAACTTGCCTACGTCACTTGCACCGTGGGCCGTACACACACACACATACATATATATATATATATATAGATATATAGATATACATATAGACATATGTATGAGCATTGACAAATATGTATAAAAAATATACTAGATGTCAATATACACATATATGTACATGCATCCAAATACATACATATGAATATGTGTAGTTTTACATTTTTGTGTGCGAGTGTGTTTTGTCTTCAAATCGGCCGTTACTTTTCAAATTGTTCGCCATGAAAGTTAATTGAAGCGTGGGAAAAAAAGAAAGTGTTTGCGAATTGAATTGCAAATAACTGAAAAAAAAACTGTCACCACATCTTTCTTTACCATGCTCTTCTTCTTTGCAAGTTTTATTGGAGTCTTCGAAATCCGCATAGGGCACGCCCCAGCACTAGATCTGTCACACGCACACAACTACAATTACACCTACAGCCGTATGTGTGTGCGTATCTGATTTCTGCATTCTTCTGCTAGTGTCTAGCGCTTATGAAATAAGCTTTTATATCTTATCGATTCACAAATTGTTTGTGATAACAAAATTGTTGAGTTTTTTTTTTCCTTTTCACAAGCGCGTGACTTTTATTTTTGTTTTTTGATATCATTATGATATAGGTTTTTTTTTTTGTTTTTTTGGTATTTTTGATTAGGTTTTTCGATTTCTGTTATCTGATGGTCAATTTTATTGACATTATCTCACATATTCCACAAGCACTTGTACAAAAAAAATTGTTTCGTAAAAAAAAAAATATATACTTTATGTATGTATGTACATATTATAGAATATGATATACTCTATTCACGATTTTTGATTGCAGTTTGTGAAGTGTTTTTCTTGATATTTGTTGGATTTGTTTTTGGCTGGATTGTTTGGTATTTGATGTAAATATACTTACATTTGGTCTGTTTTGATTAAAATTAATTAAATAAATATAAATTAAGTCTTTCGGTTTTGTTTGTGTGTGTCTTTCGTGTAGACGACTTTAGCTGGCTGCTTTAAGCGGTTTTGTGTCGGGAGGTGTATTCCACACAGCACAAGAACTCAAACTGTAATGACATGAAAACTGGTCGCCGTTCGCCGTTTTATAAAGCCCGGTATCCATCCGTCCATCCCAACCGGCACAGTAACTTAGCGCCTTATCAGCGCCGTCACTTTGCACAGCCTGGCAAGCGTTTTACCATATATGGTATGAATTCAATTTTTACCCCGTTGCCGGCGATATAGTCTGTGTGTGTGTGCTACCCCGTATCTGTATGCGCTTATACATGCCTCTCTGCATAACCAGCGAGCGTGTGTGTGTGCATGTATAATAAAGTATGCGCGCATGTGTGTGAGCGCGCTGTGTCTATGCGTGTTTCGTATGCTGCTCGCAGAGTATGAAACAACATACATAATTCCCTACATCGGGTGTGACAGCCAGCAGATTGCGTCATTTTGTCAAACGTTTTGCAGCCTGCATCAAAGTGCATGAACTTCAAAGTACCAAACTTCAACCAATGCCAAATTCAAATATCAAATTAAAATATAATATATCAGTTGCATTAAGTTAAAAAAGTCATAGCTCTGTAATTGAAATAATCGTAACAAAAACACATTGAAATCTGATATTATCTCAAATACCTTCAAGTAAGAATATTGTTTAAAATTACATTTATATATGTATGTTTATTTATCTACATTGTTTATTTATTAATCTCAATTTCTTTAGGCATTTTATCAATTGGGGTAATCATTGATTAACTAAGGTCAGCAATACTAACCTAAACTGCTCAAATGCCTGAATAAATCAAAACAAAAAACACGAATATATACAAATATATACATCTGTTACGTATTAAAGCTAGAGTTGCTTAAAAATAAAGGAAATATTTCATGCCCTCTCTCAAAGAAACTTAACAGCTCTTTCAGCACTAATTGTTAAAACAGCATCATATTGTTTCAACCTTGTTCTTGTCCTTGTCTAACATACAAAATTTTCCATAACACATGTTAGTCACGGACTCAAACATTTATACAATTTATCTCTAACATCTTATCAATACCAGATACAAACTAGATATACGATAATAGTAGAGTCTTCACTAGTCGTCATATTTAGCTAGCTTTCAAGCTCGGTTTATAGCAATAACGGCGCCAACCAAAAACAGCTGCCAGTTGATGCGTCTACCGCGCGTTTGCGCAAAAGAGACAGCGGCACTCGCTCAGTCAGCCATACACACTCACACACACACATGCATACAAACTCATACACAGAATTACGCTCGCTCACTCATTCACTTGCTGCTGTTGCTGCTGCTCAGCGTAATGCTGACTCAACTCTGCTCCGAGTCGTTTGGGGTTTGTTTTTCTGACTGTTCAGAAGATATTTTTAAAAATTGACTAGTGCTAAATGATTAAATAATTCTTATCATTATTGATGACTATTTACAAGATTTCATAGATAAAGACTATCGAAGGCTTGCAAACATGCCTGTCGCATGCATTGTAAAAGCCGCTCTCTCTCTCTGTCTCTCTCTCTCTCTCTTTTTTTCGTTGTATCTCTTGCAAGTTGCAACAGTGCTAAAAGTGAAAGAGTGCAATGCGAGGGGATGTCCGTCTCAAAGAGGGGAAAGCAGCACAAGCGTGCAGCGTATATACATACACTTGCTCGCAAAACTCTACGTACACTTGCAAGCAAACCCATATTTTTAAGTTTACATGTACATATACTGGATTTAATATAGAAGACTTAAGGCAGTACTTTTTTTTTTTTTTATAACAATTTCCATTTATTTACTAATATAATTATGTTTTTATTTTATTATTAAAACTAAACCTAATATTAAAAAAAAATAATAAACAAAAAACATAACCAAAAAATGACACCTCAAAAGTCTGCGTACAGTTTAAGTTTGCTGCATAACTGCATGCATGAGTGTTGCAAGTTGCAACCACAGCTATGTATGTATATGCATATATCTGTACATATATACATAAATGAGTAAGTGTGCAGTCGCCTGTGCATGTGTGTGTGTGTGTAGTATTCGCTCGAATCGCGCTGAATTTTTTGTAACGGCAATTGCTCATACATGGGGAGCGGACGCATTCTTTTATAGACAATCGTGTATATTTACTTTAGCCGGTTGACTAATCATTGTTTAAATAATTGCCTATTTTGAATTAATACGCACAAATAACTAGCGAATATCAAAAGCAAACCGCTTTAGCACGCAACAAACCTGCGTGCATGTACATGCATGCATGTGTGTGACAAACATATGTATGTATGTGTGCATATAGCAGCCATCACGAGCAGCATCACCGAAAAAGTGAGACAGCGCGAGTGTGAACGAGAGAGAGGCTTACGCAGACATGCTCTCTCGCGAACAGCAGCATTAAAAAGAAAACAACAAACGTTTGCGTTTGCGGAGAACGATGACCAAAGGAGTGGCAAAAAAAACAAAAAAAAAAAAACAAAAAATCAACAAAGATGACGTTGCCAGCGACAGCCGCAGCCGCAGCGCCATCTACATTCGATCACATTGCATTTCTATCTATACATGTACATATAGATATATGAATGTATGAATATGTGTATGTTGTGTTATGTGTGTATCTATGTATGTATTTGGAGTCACTTGATTCGTGTGTATGCCTTCTTCTTTTTTTTTTTTTTAGAAATCGAATGTAGACTGATTGTGTTGTGCCACTGTTCATGGAATTGTTCAAGGCTTACGCTCAATTTGATATGGGAGCTGTCGTAATTTCATATTTTTCAACTGAATAGCTGCAGAAATTCTCATGATGTTAACAGCTATTCGCTAACGTCAACATTCGCAGCATTCCAATCAGCTTGTTCTTTTCTGCTCTGCTTTCGCAGTTAGGTTAGACATACAGACGAGCATATGTGTATGTATTTATGTATGTATGTAAGCTTATATGCATACCCTACATATCGTTAGCCGGTTTTGTTTGTTATTAAAAGTGTGATGGAATTTCTTGAATTTTTTTCTATTTGGTTTTTATTTATATGGAGTAATCGTTGTTGTTATAAATAATTATGTTTATATATGTATATATAAGCATGTAATTACAGACTTTCTTCAAATTAGCATATGAATGTAAATATTTAAGTTTGCAGCGCATTTGCAAAGAGGCTTCGCCTTTGCCTTTCTAACACTGACAAAGTGTATGAAGGAAATATAAACGAGATGCATGCATTCATATGTAATCAATTTACAGTTCTTAGAGTTTTTTAATTATTGCATGAATAAAGTTAAAAATGTATGTACGTGCATATACATATGTGTATGTATGTATGTATGTACACATGTCTCTCTAGACAGATGAGTAACGACCTTGTCTACTGGTAAGGGGAGTCAAGGGAGTCTAGTGTGCGTGTATGTGAGTGTGTACACACAGCTGGCTTGATTGAAACTAGATATAATTAAATGGCCAAAAACGGCGAATTGACGTAGCCAATGACTTTGAAATGGCTATGTGTTTACAAACAACAACAGCAGCAGCAGCAAACATGCATACATATATTAACAACAACAACGAAATCTACTACACAAGAGCCATGATCAACGACCTTTCTCCAAAAAGTTCGCAGCTCGTCACGTTTTCTACACACTCACATACACACGGGCGCACGGAGAGAGAGAGACACGCACGCACGCACAAGCAAATCCAAGAGAGTGTAGAGCGGGAGAGGGGTAACAGTTACTCGTACTGCTTTTATGTGTATATGCATATGTATATGTGCATGTGTGTGCATACGCATACAAGCAGAGAATTTTGTAACCATAAAGAGCGCAAAGCTTAGACTTCAAGCCGTAGCTCACGAGTCAAAGCCAAAGCCAAAGCCAAAGCTACAGCCACAGCCACAGCCATTGCCGAAGCCATTGTCAAGGTCATTGAATGAGAAATTTTTTACATTTTTTGCAATTAATTTGGCATTTTACGCGCGTATTTGGTATTAAGATGTGCATGGCCGGCCACCCTCTTTCCCACCACTCTCCACGCGCCACTCTCCGGCAGTGCACTTGCAGCTCTGTAGAGTTGTTTCTAGTCGCTTTTGGTCATGCTGCAAAACTTGCACATTTTCTCTACGACTTGTGTAGATGCAGCGACAGGTGTGACCAGTTTTGACCATAATTACAGCTAAAAACTAAAAAAGTAAAATCAGCACCAAAACTTACATTGATTGTTAGCTTAATTAGAGTGCAAACGTTTAATTGCCAACTGGGCGCCATCTCCAGTGAGATCGAGCTAGACATATTAATTATCGATCAGCTTTTGTTATGATAATCGTCATAGGTCAGGCATATCAAATTATCTGTAAGCCCAATTAGCTAGAGAGTCAAGGAGTTATGCACTTAAGAAAATAGGTTGTGAGTCGGATCGAAGTTTTTATAGATTAGATGTCCTGGGAGCTATAATTTGACATTTTCCAAGTTTTTAAAATCATTCAGCTTATCCACTCTAACAAATTACCTATCTTATCTTACCTTCCATATGTTATTAAGCTTATTTTTACAGGGTATCTCATGAGCTGTATTTGCCACATTTGAAGGGTATTATCTAAACTATTCACATTAAGTACTTTCTTCAACATTTTAAGCATTCATCTACAACATTTTTTCTACAGCTAATCAACTCATGGTAGAACTAATAGAGGTGTATGCATAGAGTAAGAGAGAGAGAGAGGGGGAGAGGGGGAGACAATGGGGCGTATCAATGCCGAAAGCGCGTTTGTCTGCTGCGTGCACAAATTGTTTAAAAAGAAGTGAGTGCATAAATAATTGCATGAAAATATGATTAAAGTGCATATTTATATAAAATGCCAGAATACCAAAAACTTGTTAATTGCTTTCGGCTAATTGCGCTAGAGATGTGCAGCACTGACATGCGATAGTTGATGATTATGCTAAAAATAAAGAAATAAAAATTCAATAAACAAGTGAAGTAAAAAGTCAAACTAGATTTTCAAATAAGAAAAAACTAGTTCAGCTACCGTTTGAACTGGTTCCAATTGGATGCCACTCGCTAGGCAACAAAATGTTCCATCTCCAATTGGCAGCTAACGGGCGCATTGCGTGTCCGATGCTGCCGATAAATGAGCTGATGACGATGATAATGACGATGGCGATGGCGCTGGCGATAATGATGTTGTTAAAGAAGAAGCAGAACCTCGAGCAGCTTTTGGAAAAGTGAAAAATTATGTTTTATTGTTGCCGCGTCGCCATTTTTCACAATTTCACTTTGATGGCAATGCACGGCTATATTTGTGCGTGTCTCATGCATTTGTCTCACTATACCGCTCTCTCTCTCTTTCTCTCGCTCCCTTGCTTTGTATCCATTCGATTTGATTTGCTGTGGGTGCGCATTCCATATAAACAAATGGCTCTTTTGGCGCACAGCCAGCAAATTAATTAGCCATTTTCAAGTGCGGTGGCCAACAGCAGCCACGCATCAAAGCATCGAAAAAATCCAACATGGCCAAAGAGTGAGACAGCCAGCGAGCGAGTGGGAGGGAGAGAGAGAGAGAGATCAAGTGCATGGATGGAGGTAAATCAGCAGACAAATTGTATTTAAAGTAAATAAATTGCCAAACAGAAATTAAAATATTTGTAGTGCGGGTAATATTGTATATTAGTGATGATGATGATGATGATCATATTGATGATAATGAAAATAATAAAGATTATTATTATGCGATAGTTCTACTGATAATAATACATAGAATGGTAATGTTACTGAAAATAATGATGATAATGCGAATGATTATCATGATGATCATACAAATTCATTATGATAATGATAATTACAGTGCTAACGATAGAGCTAATGAGAATTACACGACTAACGTCGATGACAATGATAATGATAATGATCATTATGATAATGACAATGATAATGAGAACGATAGCAATAATAACAATAATAATCATTATGATAATGCTAAGGACAATGAAGCTCATGATAAGAATTCATTGCATCAGTGACAATAGTAATGACAATGACAATGATAATGACTCGGATAACAATGCTAGTGAAAAGGACATGATGAACATAATGATAATGCTATGGTCATTAAAATGATGATCACTATCATAATGATAATGACAGCAAATGATTGTGGCAATGAAAATGACAATGACAATGCCAACTTCAATGAGAATAATATTGATTATAGCGATGAGAATGTGAGTGCTTCCTACATTGATTACACATGATGATTACGTTTGTATGTGTGTATGTATGCATGTATGTAGATGTACAATATAAACATTTTAAGGAATGCAAGTTTATTATTATTATTATAGTTTCATCTCAATTTTCTGTATAGAAGACTTTCATAAGAACCTCTCTAAACAAAGTGAATATGCATATACCTATGTATATATGTGTGCATGTATGTATGTATATGCACTCATCTAAACATTGATGAGGAATGCATTCGTATTAAATTTCTTTTTATTTGATTACATTATACGGAAATTCTAATGCAATCATAGCTAATAGTATTAGCTTGATAAGAGCTGTTATATACACAAGTACTATACATACATATGTATATATATAATATATATGTATATACATGTATATAGTTATTACTCATAGCTCTAGAATCCACATAGTAAACACTGGGGAATGATGCCTTTGCTTTGCTTACAATATTCGCTCGCTGGGCAAAATGCAATTTCATTGAGTCAGACAAGGCCATGGATAGGAGGGGAGAGCTGTCAGTTTTCCAGTTTTCTAGTTGGCGACCGCAGCCGAAGGTGTTGCAGCAATTGAATGTGTGAGACGTGGCGCATTGTGGGAGTCGCCGCAGACAGCGAGAAGCCCGTCTGAGTCGAAACATTTTATTGAGCTTTATTTTACTGTCTAGCGATACCCTGTACTAAATGCCATTGCTTAAAAAGCGGGTATATTCGCGTATATTATGGCTAGCAAATATGTATATATGTACATGCACACATATATATACATACACATATATGTAAAGGATTGTAGACTTGACGAGTTGACGACTTTTAAAGTTATTGTGTAGAGATTCATGAGATTCATCTCCAATTCGATAAGGGAATGCATTACAGAGTGAACTGGAGACCCAGGGTAGCTGTACGTTTAGCAAGTCAAGTGCAGAGCACTCTTACTTTTTTCTCTCCACACGTTGTTGGTCATTTTTGCTGTTATTGTTTTCTTCTCTTTCTTATTTTTATTGCTTTTTTTTTTGCGGCATCAGCGTCGGCGAGACACTGCGAAACTGTGTGCGAACCTGATGCCGGCGTCTGACTGGATTTTCCATTATTTTGCTATTTGTTGGATTTTGGTTGGGCATGCGAACGCCGCAGCGCCTCGGTGAGCATAGTAAGTATCTGATTGGAATCGGAGCCATGCATCCAATGGCAGCGACTATTTATGTACATATATGTATACATAAGTATGTAGTTATTTAAGTCTGGCTGATCATGAAGACGTTATTTCAGTTCTATTTGCTCGTAATTTGCAATTATCCAATTAGGTTTGCTTGCTATGGGAGGCTCGCCATGCAATTCTTATTGGATTGGTTTGCTTCAGCCATGAAAGACGCAAAGAGAGTGAGCGAGCAAGAGAGAGAGAGTCTCCAATTTGCAGACGAAGTCGGTGTCTCCAAAAGAAAACTACGCATAATTTCTACAACTTTTAATTATGACAGCTAGAACGGTCAGTAGAATAGATACACAGACACACACACACACGCATACATATATGTACATACATACATATGTACATATACATATAAGACGTTGCATTTATATGGCTAAAGCAACATATTTGCATGGTGAAGTAACTGTGACAACTAAAACTACTTTAAAATAAGGCACAGTGAATACACGCTATGAGCGCAACTAGAAGAATTACTTAATTCTTGATATACTTCAAATATTTTCATTCATATCTATTGTGCTTCGCGACCGTTTTGTATGCGCGTCATGTTTGCTGTAATCTAACATTGTGCGTGCCGCTCTTATTGAGTCTTCACTGTAACGGCAAATCTAAAGAAGGCCGTAGCCATAAGAATGTGGGTTGCAAAAACAAAACCTTAAGTGGTTTTTAATCAAAACCAGTGAGTATGTATGTATGTATGTGTGTGTGTGTGTGTGTGTGTGTGTGTGTGTGTGTGTGAGGTGTTATACTTAGTAAGCGCGTACTGGCATATTTATGTATGTATGGTTGTACATTCGTATGCACGCCAGTGTAGAACATCGCCCACACACACTTACACATATGCATGCTCTCATTCCCATTTCCATTCCCACTCGCGGCGCTGTTCCCATTCCAAGTGACTTTTGGGTCGGCGGCTTGGCTGAAGCTTTTCACAGGTTTGGCCCGTTACGGTTCAGCGCTAACAGCTGGGCGTGCGCCTCTGCCTCTGCCTCTGTCTGCACGAGCGTGTGTCTGTGTGTGTGCGTGTGAACAACATCAATTAATGAGACAAGAAACTCAAATAAAGTTGGCAACTCTAGCGCTGTCGCTGTCGCAGTCGTTGGTCAGCAATTACACAAATTGAAATGAATAAACGCACGTGAATCGCTGCGTGCGCTTGGGGGATTTGGATGCGCGTGACAAGCGGCAAAGTTTCATGTGCGTGCAACAGGAGCGACCGACGACTGGTCACACCCAAAATTTAAAAAGAAGAACCAACAAATATTCAGATATCGCTGCACGTGGCAATCATTGCGTGAAGGCGTCGCCTTTATCGCCATATTGTCAACAGAATCCAGTGGCACGCCCTTTGCGCCTTTCGCAGCTGCAATCGGCGGATATGACGCTGATCTATAACGGAACTCGGCTTTCAGCTGGATATGCGGGCACACACACATGCATATAAAAAGACATTCATATCACTCGCACTCACACACACTCATGCATTTGCAATCCACATTGATACGGTACATATTTAAAGATATGGCAGCACTTTAAACAGCGCCCAGCACCCGGCTAGGGGCGCTTTGTCGCCCTCTTATCATTGCTATAAATATGTGAACACTCACTTCCAATACAATTGCCCAAGCAGCCTATAAATATTAAAAAAAAAAAAAGAAGAAACACATTTAGCGATTAACTAAAGTTACTGATAAATATGTACATGTTTTTTTTCGGATTGTTTTTGTTTTTGTTGATTTTGGGTGTCAACGCCTAAATAAATAAATTGTATGTACGTATGTATATGTATGAAATTAATGTGCATTTTATTTATTGTCGCACTGATAATGGCCTTTAACAACAAAATTGAGCAATGACTCAAGCATGCGTGTGTTTTTGGCAGCGAATTCCGATGGCCAGTTCGTTCAGTTGAGAGCGAATCGTGCTTATCATTGGAATTAGACATTGACCATGGGGAGACGAATGTAATGACTCATCTGAGTCGTCCCACACGGACATGCACAACAAGCTCGCCTTACACACACACACACATACACACACACACACACGCACAGTCGAGCAAACGTTTCGCTGGGGCGGCTTGAGGGTCGCATTGAAATACATATGTACATACATATGACGCGGCAGCTTAATTCCATGTTATTGGAATGATTCATGCGGCTGAAATGAAAAGTACGAAAAAAAAAAAGAAAAGAAAAACACACAAATAAACAAACAAATTCAAGTGTACGGTGACAGATTTGCATATGAAACATCGAAGAAAGCAATGCCAGCTACAACAACAACAATAACAATAAACGAGTTGCTAAAAACTAGAAAAACAATCGAAACTAATAATAAATGTCGTGGTGGAAGCGCTGGAAGTTTATTTTTTTGTAACAATAGCCGCTGCTCGCTATGTAGGTGAACGGTAAACAAAATAAATGCGCGATCCCAAAGTCAACGGCAAAAACAAAAACAGAAAAGCACAAACACACACACACACACATGCACACCAAACATACATAGTATGTACATCTGTATGTATGTTAATAATTGAGCATATTTAACACACAAACACATTTCAGCACGACTTGGCGTTTACCGAGCATGCGAGCGAGCGAGCGAGAGGGCAGACCCGTTCCCGTTGCCCGACAGTTGAGAAATCAAATGCGAACAGCTGCCGCGCAGACGCTGATGGGCGAGCACCTGTAACAACGAGAAGAACAACAGCAGCAGCCACAGCAGCAGCAGCAGCTACAACGACAACAACAGCAACAGCAACAACAGCAACAGCAGCACTGGCGTTAATGGCAAACGTCTTCGTCTCCCATTGTTGACAGTTACGTTTGAAATGTTAAGAAAAACAGAAGTCGAAGCGGCACAAAATCCGATAAACTTGTTTTCAAACAACGGAAGAAACTGGCTGCAAAAAAAAACTAAGAAAATAAACATACAGCACTGAACAGTCAAATAGAAACGGCATTATAATATAGTTCCTCAATATGTGTATACATATGTACATATGTGCAAATGTTTTTATGCACACATAAATGCATGTATACATATGTACATACATTTGCATATGTGTTAATTGAAGTACATAAAAGAAAGACTTGCATACATATGTATTATTTAAATATATACATACATACAAACATACATATCAGCAAATACACATACACATATGATTATGTATATGCATGCATATATATTATTTAAATATATACATACATATATCAACAAACATACATACATACATACATGTACATATGTATATACTCATATTCATAGTTAATTTCTAAACAAGCGCATCTATTTGTCTATCCCGCACTGTGCACAGTTATTCCAAATAGTCTCCAGCAACGGTGCTTAGCCAGCTTGAAATGGGTAGCCACAAGCACACACAACACACAAATACGCTCACACACACACAGACACCATGTTTACATTCTAATGCATCTTGAGCTGATTGAGTATAGTGCGACCCTCTAATGAGCGCTAGAAATTACCATTTGCTTGGCTTACTTAACGCTAGCTTTTTTCTTGTTGGCTCGTCTATTCCTTTTTATTCTATATTTGCACACCCAATGCTGCCGCCAGCAGCAGCCAGCCTTGAGAGAGCATCATTCAACAGCAGCGGCCGCGGCTGCGCCACTTCCACTGTCAGCGAAAAAACAGAAAAGAAACAGCAACAACAACAAAAACGAAAAATCATGCTCATGTGTGGTTGGCATAAGCGAACAACGGACAAACGGCAGCAAAGAAGTTAAGGAAGACTTAAAATACGGTAATTCATGCTTTCTATCTGTGCACTTTTCACTTTCTAGTCTAGGCATCTTGCAGCTAAAAATAAAATACAGGCAGTCATAACAATAGCAGTGGCAATGACAATAAATTTGGAGACTTGATGTATGTATGTATGTATACATACATGCATATACAAGTCTACAAACATATGTACATGTATGTATGTATATATGTATATGTGTGTATATGTGAGTGTGTGGGCTTGCAGAAGCTGCTGTTGTTTTTGCTGTGTGCCTATTTTGAGTGTTTTCATATTGCTTGAAATATCCAAGTGCGAAGTCAACTGCAAATGTTGAGAAAATTTCCAAATTGGAAAGCAACGTACATTTGAATGTATGACATACATACATATACACATATGTATGCATGTATGTATGTATGTCTGTATATACTTTTATCTTTGCAAAAATATTATTTTTTAAAAGCAGCAAAAACAATGAACAGCAGTAACAAGAAACAAGTCAACGTTTTTGGCATATTTTGTTTTGTTTGTGTATTTATTTTAATTTTACTCTGCATAATTTATTTTGCCTTTTGGCGCTTTCAGTCGCACATACACACACATGCTCAGTCGCAGCAAAGCCATTGACATTGAGCTGTCTCTGCTGGCGTCGCTGCCGACGTCGCTGCCACATTTGGCCCATTTTGAATGAATCAAACGCGAAACATTGTGCGTTCTCGCTCCCTCTTTCATTTGCTGATTTATGTATGTATATTGAGTTTTATCCCAAAATGTACATGTCGCAAAATGTGTGCCTGTGTGTGTGTGCGCGAGCTTTTATGATTTCAAACTGTAACGATCTTCGAATTTCGAGCCAACGGAAATCGACAACGTTGCCATATTTCTGCAGTCGCTAAGTGATCTATGCTCTAACGTGATGACACCAGAGTCTAGGGATGCCAACTCTCACTCTCTCTCTCTCTCTTTCGCGCTACAACTTTAAAAGGCCTTCCATCCGGCGTTAAACTATTGCGCCTCAGGAAGCGAGCGCAATTTGAACGCCCCATTTTGGGCCGCACAAGTTTGTTGTAGACTTTTTTGGTTCTTTACGACAAATCCAACAGAATGCTGTCTCTGTGTTTATTTGTGTGAGTGTGTGAGTGAGTGAGTGAGTGAGTGAGTGTGTGTTTATTGCAATTAAGACATCCGTTTGCATTTAGGCATATGCCTCGCGATTGATACGCTGCAGGTGAACAGCTTTTATGATTTGGTTGAGGTGATTTCAATGCAATTTTTAGTTTTTTATTGAATTGTATTTTGTTTTATATAGTTTATAGATGTAAAGAGTCGCCAAACAACATGTTTACTATTGCAAACTAGCCAAATAAAATCAACTTAATCTTATTTATATGCCCATAGAACTTAGGCTATGCAATTGAAATTTTATATGAACTTTCTATGCTATCATCATATGGACACATAAATGCTAAACATGATAAAAACCATTATTTCCCATTTTCAATGGGTTCAGGGTATACAAAACATTAGAATAGGTTAAATCAACGTAAAATCCAAATCCAAACTCTTTAACAGAATTATTTATTATTTAAATGTAGCTATGGAACTCGAGAACTATAGAAGCTAAACAGCAGAAATTTATTACTAAGTTTCTTTGATATCCCCAAATGCATTAAAATGAGTTGGATTAAGTGTAAAGTCAAAATTCTTTAAATGAATCATATATTATTCTAATGTACTCATGGAACTCGGAAACTGCATTAGCTACAAACCTGCAATTTTGTATGTAATTTCTGTTAGGTCTAGAAAACATCATAATATGAGGGAATGTATAAATGCACTCAGGGAACTGTCTAACTATTGCCGTTACAAAGCTGAAAACTGATGCGCATTAACTTTCTCATCTTAAATAAAAACAAAAATATATCAAAATTTATACAAATGCCATTTATATACTAAAGCAAACAAATGATAGTGCCATATTAAACAGTTATAAGCTTTAGCTTTACCAAATTTTGATACGAATAAAGTATCTATTGCTTAATAGATTCACGGGTTACTTAACTATAATATATGGCTAAAATATATAATAAAGAGATCCAGCTAATCACGCCCATTGTATTGGCCCTATATGTTGGCCAAATTAATTCCATTCGTTAATTATATTTATGAGTTTTATCTATTCAACAAAATGTGCAAAAAAGAGAGCGAAAAATAAAACAAAGATAAGCCATTAACGGTACTGCAGGTGAAAGACTTTCACTACCTAATCAGAATTTCGTTGAATTTATGAATTTGTGAATGTGCGACAAAAATCGCCAAAAAAAAATAAATAAAATCGCCAAAAAAAAAAAAAAGATGAAGCAATTTCTATAATTTTGTTCAATTATTAAGCAAATTTTTGCGAAAGTCAAGTCGTCTCTTTTTTGTTTACCGTTCGATTCGATTTGATCCGAGCTGACATACTCATAGATGTATCAGCACCTGTATCTTAATCTGTGTATCTGCATCTGTATCTGTATCCGCAGCTGAATTTCAATGCGAACTCAGCTGCAGTAAAAGGCGTCGAGTCAAACGAGTCAAACGTCTTGGGATGTGCATTCGAAATGAACGAACTCAACTCTCCTCAAACAGTTGAAGAGTTCAAAGAAACCGTTAATATCAAACAGACGCACACACACACACACTGCTGTCAGCTGAGAAGCGGGCGACTTGCTCAAGCTGCAGATACCCTGCAAAAACATTTACTTCAAGCTTTTATTTAGGATTGCGAAGGGTCATAGATAATAGTAATATAAATATATGATATACATACATATATCAATGAATATGAATCACTATGGATAATATAGGCTGATCTATTCTCTCAGTCCGTTTCTACACCTCAATTTGCTCCTCATCGATTTGAAATCATTTCTACATATTTATATATCATATCATTCCTTGAATTTGCTCACAACTAATATACCCATCGCAGACTTTTCCTAATGGGTATGGCATATCATAAAACCGATTCAGCCAAGCAAAAGCTCTATACAGAGTTCGCCCCCAACTCCCACTTTCCAGTGATATAACAGTTATTTAGTTCATTTAGGTTTTATGGAGCGATTACATATGAAGGGCCCATAGAAATTATAGAGAGCGTTATGCATTTGCTGGAAAGCCCTAAGATTAACAAGTGTCTTTTACACTATTTAAGAGAGCTCTAGGTGGGAATGCATATAGGGAGAGTGAGATACATACGTATTATATAATAAAGATCAGTTAACAGTTTGAGTTGGCTTAGAGTTAACAAAATTCTAGTAAAAATTATGTAATCAATGGATCACAACTCATCGATATTCCAGAGCTATAAACCTATCTCTATCAGGTGTGAATCATGGATATGGGATTTTTGTAAAGAGATGTAGATGAGTTAAATGGAATTTATTTACTTTAAGGTGGGGAATTTTCGAGAATTTTGAGCAAAGAGTTTTTTGGAGCGTGACGAGGTGCATTGCATTTTCATTTCCATTTTCATTTCCATTTCGAGAAGAAAATGAAGAAGAGAAACGAAGAGTTGAATGCGATCCGTTCGCTGCATTATTCATGAGCCAAAACTGCAGCTGTAAAAGATAGAGAAAGAAGAAGAAGCAGCCGCAGTAGAGTCTACTCCATGGCTAAATCAATGCGTATGACTCATCCAAAGTAAATGAAAGAAAACAAAAATTGTCTGGCTTACAGACGGATTTTCCCCCAATTTTTCAACAACAGTTGAGAAAGTGACACGTGCGCCTCTTTTCCTGTATGTATGTATGTATGTGTGTGTGTGTGTGTGTATGTGAGTGCGTGTGTGTATAGTATTTAATTTGCCAAATACCCAGCAAGGCGAGGATTGTGTGCCGATGGGCGTGATAGGCTGGCAAGGCAGAATGAACTCTTCAGTCTAAACTAGGCATATTTTCAAAATAATAATAATAATAGTAGAAAAGAGAGAGAGAGAGAGAGAGAGAGAGAGAGAGAGAGAAAAGAAAGAGAGTGAGATAGAGAGAGAGAAATAGAGAGAGAGGGAGATATGGAGACAGAGAGGAGGAGAAAAAGAAAGAGAGAGAGAGAGAGTGAGATATGGAGGCAAGGGAAGAAGATATATAGGAAGATTGAGAGATAAAGATAAAATGAAAAGCTAAGAGAGAAAGGAATAGATAAATCTTTATGGAGCGAGGAGA